TATCGAGAACCAGTGATTTCCGCTTTAGGGTTTAGGGTTTAGGGTCTAGGGTTTAGGGTTTAGGGTTTAGGGTTTAGGGTTTAGAGTGAGTTAAGGGTAGGATTTGTCTTGGTAGAGGGTTTGATTTGTGGTTGAGTGTTTTGTTGTTTAGGGTTTAGGGTTTACGATATGTATAGCGTAGAGTGATGTTTTCTTTGTATTAGGGTTTAGGGTTTAGGGTTTAGGGTTTAGTGTGTGTATTTGGGGTGTATGTACAGCTCGTATACTCTCTACCCTGGGGGCCCTAGACACTAACCTCATTCGTAACTATGGTGAGGTGTATAGGGTCTTCTGGGCCTCTCTGCTGCATGGGGGCTGGGTGCATCTCACTATAAATATATTTTGTCAGGCGGCGGTCCTCTTTATCCTTGAACCCGTAAGCAAACCCTAAACCCTAAACCCTAAACCCTAAACCAACCCAGTTGCGACGCGTTGGCTGAGGGGTGAAGGTTTTCTTGGCGAGTTTAGGGTTTAGGGTTTAAGATGAACTGAAACCCTAAACCCTAAACCCTGTTGTGGCAGTCTTGTTTGGGATCTCCGAAATAGAGTTTAGGGTTTAGGGTTTAGGGTTTAGGGTTTAGGGTTTATGAGTTCAGGTGTGGGGTTTCTGGAGATGTCTGTTGACGTGGTTTATCAGCGCCATGTCAGGGAACCTCCTCAGCGCTGTCTTCGACCCCTGCACCACCACTGTCGGCTCCTCGGGGGCTCTATACGGCCTTTTGGGGGGTTTAGTACCTTTTGCAATAGGTGAGGGTTTAGGGTTTAGGGTTTAGAGTTTAGGGTTTAGGGTTTAGGGTTTAGGGTTTGGGGTTTAGGGTTTTAGTTTAGGGGCTTCGAAGGGCTCTCGGGGGCTCTATACGGCCTCTTGGGGGGTTTAGTACCTTTTGCAATCGGTGAGGGTTTAGGGTTTAGGGTTTAGGGTTTAGGGTTGTAGGCCTGGGCTGTCTACCGACCCAGCTGCAAGCGTGGCGGCGAGGTGAGCGTTGCAAGTTCAGGGTTTAGGGTTTAGGTTTTCCCCTGAAGGGTTTAGGGTTTAGGGTTTAGGGTTTAGGGTTTAGGGTTTGGTGTTCTCGCAGAGAACTGGGACNCTGAAGGGTTTAGGGTTTAGGGTTTAGGGTTTAGGGTTTAGGGTTTGGTGTTCTCGCAGAGAACTGGGACTTTCTGCATTATCCTTGGTGTGTGCTGGGCATCGTCATTATTGTTATTGTGAGTTGCAAACCCTAAACCCTAAACCCTAAACCCTAAACCCTCATTAAGCTGGAAGTATATATTGTTATTTTCAGTTGCAAACCCTAAACCCTAAACCCTAAACCCTCATTACACAGTAAGTATATTTTTCTCTGTAGCACGAATTTCCTGATCTCTCTCAGTATATAGGGTTTAAGATAAAGAATTTGAGGGTTTAGGGTTTAGGGTTTAGGGTTTAGGGTTTAGGGTTTGTGTGCAGGTGACGGCACAGCTCAACAGCATGGGGGGTTTCTCTACAGTAGATAATTTCGCTCATTTGGGTGGCTGTCTCGGCGGTATGCTTTTTGGGTTTGCAACGATATACACCCTGAGGTCTATCAGGTAAACCCCAAACCCTAAACCCTAAACCCTA